GTTTGTGTTTGTTTGAGAGTGAGTGAGTGAGAGAGGGATCCAACTTCTCTGTGTGCGTGTGTCTGTTTGAGAGAGGGGGTGGGGGGGAAGAGTGAGGAAGGAGGGGGAGGGAGAAGAAAAAGAATGAAGGAAAACTTATTTTGCAAGGGGGGAAATGCTGTCACTTTAAATTGGAACTGAGCATGCCTGGCTGTGGAATTCTGGGAGTTGAAGTCCACAAGTCTAAAAAAATTTGAAACTCCTGCGTGACTGTCAGTGCCTCACCAGTTATAAACCTCACCGCACGTCACTGGGTTGCGGCATTAGGAAGGTTGAGATCCACTGCAATAGAGCAATAAGATGACACATACTCTTTAACTCTCTGGCTGAATTTTAAAGACAATGAAATATTTAAAACATTTAGGGGAAAAGATATTTCTGTCAGAGAATTAATTCTATAAATCAGTCATTTAAGGAAAACAGTCTCTGAGAATTTGGTTATTAGAGAGGATATAAGGCAAAAACTGATTAGGGGATGCTGGGTACTCAGCAATCTGAACCATGACTTTAAAGTCATTGTCAGTGACTTTAAGATGTATGGATCTCCCTAACATGGAAGGGGAATCCTGGGAGTTGAAGTCAACACATCTTAAAATCGCTGAGGTATAGAGCTGTTATACAGAACTTCACTGCTATGGCTTCTTCTAAACCACTAACCTGAGTTGTTTGAGGTCATTCTCACTCTATCTAGCAAGTCTAGTCCTAATTCAAGAAGTTAACGTCTTGAGTTGCTGTAGGATTGGCTTTGGCAGATCGACAACAGATATCTCTATTATAAGTTGTTTGCTACAAATCCTTGCCTTTGCTGGAAATTGAAATCTATAACCCCTGAAGGGCAATAGGTTGTGTCTTACTAATTGAATCTGATAATGTGAGCTTTAAGATTCAAACCAAATGATTCTTCCTGGAGTTACCTGCCTTTCCTGTCAATCATTATTGCATTTAGCACACTAAAACAATTCTTTCTTACTTCTGCTCAATGGTCAAAAGTAGTTGCAAGACGAAGAAGAAAAATGGAAAAATTGAGAGGGGAGGTTGAAAAAAGCAGAAGCGTTTGGCTAACACAGGTTAAAAAAAATCACAATAAACTAGATTTTGAAAAGGCATTGCTAGCTTTGCAAAGTTACATTGACCTTCATCGGTCATCTAGGTTTTTAAGGACTGGCCTCAGTGCTGATATCTTTGCCTCTATATAGAACTTGGACTCAGATTTCCTCAGATACAAGACACAAACAGACAGACCTAAGACATTCCATATTGCTTACCTTCTGCTAAAAAAAAGGAGTCTGGCTTCCGGATTCTGTGCCACTCTGCCTCCAGCTTAATAGAGCAGCAAATGTGTAGTTTCCTGTTGGAAAGGATTCTCCCATCCCCCGTGTTTACATGCACACCACACACACACCTTACCCCTGCTCCTATTTCATCCAAAATTGTGCGTGGCCACAAGGCAGGGCGTTTCAATCTGAAATATTTATCCTGCCTGTTCTGCAAATACTCCCCGCAGGGAGAAAACGATTTACCTCAGAGCTCATGCCAGGCTCTCTCTGGGTGTGCTCCTCTGCTTTCTCCCGGGTGCTCTTCCTTCCTGGATCTGTGCACTAGAGGAGTGGCAGGTGCCTAAGAAAATGGAAGGTAAATGTGAAAAGGGTGAAAGGTAATGAAGCTGGTTACACATTAACTTGAATCGGCTTCTCTGGTCTTTTTGGAATGATTGGACAAACTTGGTCAACTTAAGTAGTACAGTTGGAGAAAGGTTGTGTATAAAACACCCATGCTTGTTTACACTAGCCTATGTATTAACTCTGGTTTCCTAATCTAAAACATATGTATGTACATGCCTGAAGGATAACAATTCGGTTAGCTTATCTTTTTTGTGCAGGGGTCCAAAGTCCAATTTTATTCCCAACATCTCCATGGACAGCCACAGGGGGAAAATATCTGTACATCTGTCCCTCCAATTGGATTATGATACCATTCTTTAGGAGCAGAAAAGTCTTGTGGCATGAAGTTGGATGAAGATCCCTATCATGCCTCTCTCTTGTGGGGTAATTATGGAACAACTGACTCCAATAATAATGGGCTCCTAGAGAAAGCAATCCCTTTACTTTTTAGTTTTATCACTGTTGTTGTGACTATTACTTACTCCTGTTATGGTCAGCATGGTGGCTCATCGGTTAAGATGCTGAACTTGTTGGCTGGAAAACTGGCAGCCCAGGTTTGAGACCCAAGTGCCACCCAAAGGGATGAGCTTCCAACCTCGCCCCAGCTCTTGTCATCCTAGCAGATTGAAAGCATGCAAATGCAAGTAGATAAATAGGTACCTCTTCAGTAGGAAGATAACAGTGTTCCATGACTTCATTCTGGCCACATGATTGTGGAAATGTCTTCCAACAGGGATGGCTCAATGACCTTGAAATGGAGATGAGCATCACCCGCTACAGTTGGCAACACTCCTTCATCTTTTTCATCTGTTATTAAAAACAGAAGGTAGATGTTCTAAAAATCCAGGCACTGCTGTTAGTTTATTTTTCAATGAGTACAACAATTTGTTTAATGACTGTTCGAAGCTACAATGGCATTGAAGCGACTTATGACTACTTTTCATACTTACAATCATTGCAGCATCCCGTGGTCACATGATCATTATTTAGATGCTCGTCAACTGGCAGATATTTATGACAGTTGCAGTGATCACCTTTTGTGACCCTCTAGCAAGCAAAGTCAATGGGGAAGCCAAATTCAATTAACAACTGTGTTACTAACTTAACAATTACAGTGTTTCACTTAACAACTGTTCCAAGAAATGTTGTAAACTGGGACAAAATTGCCTTGCCTAGCAATGGAAAGTTTGGGCACAATCGTGGTCATAAGTTTACCAGTAATGTAAATTCAGAAATTTGATCATTCCAACAGCTGTTGATTACAATCCACAATTATATTAAACCAGTAGTCTGAGGCACTTATGTAATTTGGCTCAATCACCTTACCATAACTAACACAAGTACATAAATGAATCATTTATGCATTCATCACTAATACACAAAATGTCATTTGCCATCTGCTGTTTCTCCCCCTCACCCCACCTGGAACTCTCTTGTGGATATTTATGGTAAATTGAAACCCGAATTAGAAATAATAAAGTTTACTATATTGTGAAAATGCAGCCAGTGACTGGTCTGTATATCACATTAAGGCCATTCTCGTGAAGTCATAGAGATAGCCTTGTCCAAGTACACTGTCCTTCTTAGTGTTTCTTTTGGAAGTAAAATCTCATTCCCACTCTCATTTTTTTTATTTACTATAACAATGCTTCACTTCCTGTAGGGCAGTGGTGTCCAATCTTGGCAAAGTTTAAGACTTGTGGACTTCAACTCTCATAATTCTCAAGCCAGCCACCTTTCTACAATCTTTTTCTAATGCAGTATAATATCAGAAAATATTTTAATGGATGTAATGGTTGAAGTTTTGGGGCAATTAGAAATTGATTTATAGTGGTTATATTCACTACTGACCACTAGAAGACACTATATGACTACAGTAATTTGGTTCTTGTTGGAACTAGCCTCTCAATAATTACCTTTATAATGTATATCCACAGCGATTCTGGGGGGCTTGCAATATAATAAAAATCTAAATATGAAGACAACTTAAAATTTCATGAATACAACCATTATAATAAGACGTTATATACATGCACTTTAAGGGGGTGGTCATGAGACTTCTAGTATGAAATCCAGGCAAACTAACATCTATAGCTCTCTAGTCTCAGATTGCAAACTAAGAAGAAAGGAAGATGTTAACATTCATAACAATTGGATCTATTATGCCTTATATTCCTTGAGCACATGTAGTTTCTTTAACACAGAAAAAGAAATTGAGGCATTGTAAAATCAAACTTCTTCCTATGGAACATGTCTGGTTCCCAGTTATGGATGTGGAGGCAGGCATATATATTGGGTCTTCTTTCCTTTGTTAATCAGTTGTTTACACAGTGCCACTTGTTTAAATCCCTGTTTTGCCTTCTTCCCCATTCAAGGAATCAGTTGATTTCTGTACCTCCCCTCATCAATGATGTTCAGCTATATTCAGCTGGACGCTTCTAGCACGGTAAATGCTGTAAGGCCTCATCTTGAGTTCATCCTTTCAACTTATACCGTAGCATATCTCAGAACTGATACAAACCATCCAGAAAATTCTACAAATAGTGGAGGTTGAAGACAAAATGCCAACCAAGCACAACAAAAATGTTTACAAGAGGCAATTGCACCATGTATTACTGTGGGTGTATTCCCTGCAACCGTTTTTTTATGAGCATCTCCTGCACACTAAATTGCCCCATCCACACACACACCCATGCCCCTCCACCCTCCCAGGTGTCTCCACGTGGCCCATTGTGGATGTGAGGTAAGTGCAAGGCCCATGTGGAGGCATGGGGAGGGGGGAAAACAGGCCTGTCAGAAAGCCTCCAGAGCCCGGGGGAGGCAGTTTTCGCCCTCCCAGAGGCTCGAGGAAAGCCTCCAAAGCCTGGGGAAGGCAAAAAGGCCACCCCGGGCCGTGGTGCAGGAAGCCAACTAGACCACGCCCACCATGGTCACACCCACCCAGCAACCCGGCATAGAACCCACTGCTGAAATTTTTGAAGCCCATCCCTGGATCTAGATGGATCAGATATGATAACAATTGGTGAAGATTACTGTCTTTTATAGCCAGTTCAGGGGTGGGTTCCTGCCAGTTCTAACCTCTTCTATAGAGGAGGTTCCACAAATCTACAGTATTGTTTAGAACCGGTTCCAGTTCCCTCCCCCCGCCCGTCCGCACATCATCAAGATGAAGAGCGAGAGGAGGAATTCGGGGAGTTGAAGTCCACAAGGCTTAAAGCTGTCAAGTTTGAACACCCCTGGGGTCTTTTTCTAAAGGGTTAGGGGTGCAAGGGTCTTGTAACTGGACAGCTTTAAAACTTCCATGCTTCAAATGCCAGAGTTTCTGAGCCAACATTTTGGTTGCTAAGCAAGAGCATTAAGTGAGTTTCACCACATTTTACAAGTTGACCATGCCCATCTAGTCACAGGGCCGGCAAGCCACTCCCACAAAGCAGGCCACACCTACAGAAGAGGTTCTAAA